TGTTCACTGACGAGCTGTGCAAAACCACGTTCATATTCGCGCGATTTTTTGCACAGCTCGTCAGTGAACAACGGCTCTGTGTAGTTAATGCTGCTCAATGTGAAAGCCCGCAGGTGATGGAGATTTACCGCTGATTACAGAACCGGCTTTCTGACAAGATGCGCATTAAATATCGCATGCGATTTATCGTGCAGCCCTAATGTGACCTTGAAATGTTTTTACCATAAGAGTTTTTAAGTGGCTTGTTATATCATGTCATATAGAGTTTGATGCAAGCTGTGCTGTGAAGATATACACAGATGGATGCAAATATAAGTTTCCATAGGGTGTGAAAACAAAGTGGCTTGGGGATTTGTCATGCAGAAATGAATGCCAGGCTCTGTTGGTTGGTTGTAGGTCCAGAGTTGTTTACGTGGCAACGCAATGTTGTACGGTAACTTAAAGGACAGGTGGTGCATTGTTGGGGAGTAACTTAAAGGGCACCTATTATGCAAAATCCATAATTTGGACATAAATGTGTAGGCAGTGTGTGAACACAACCACCCTACAATGATAAAAATCCACCCACTCCTTATGTTTTAATCCACATTAAACCTAACCAGTCTCATTAGACATGCTGTTTTGATTCTCTGAGCAGTGTGACATCACATTGCTCAGGCCCCACCCATGGCCTCTGACTGACACCGCCATATTAGCAGAGACCCCGCCCTGAGTGAGCCGCACACAATCTGTCATGTTTATCTTCACGCTAGAGCATTTAAAAGCAGCATTCAAGTTAGAAATGTCTTCTTATTAAAGCTATAGAAGTTATATGGTCAAGAACAGTGAGTGATTTTCTGTTTTTATTTATTGTTTGGCTCATATTAACAGTTTGGCTCATATTAACATTAGAAATGCCATCTTATTAAAGTTATAGAAGTTATTCGGTTAAGAGTTGTTATTTTATTGTTTGGGTCATATAACAGCGTAGACAGCAGTAGGTACTTCATATTATGCTGCTGTCACTTCATACAAAGATCTAATATAAACATGCAATTTCTTTCCCAGCTGTTTACCTTCACAGACATAACCGACTGTTTTTGTAGCGCATTTTTAACATAACCTTGTGTGTATTTGACAGTTTAAGCGCAATAAGACATGAAAGAGAACTTAGTTTAGTACTCGCATACCATGTGACAGCCGCTTCCTGCGCGCATGCTACGGATGTGTGTACTCAGAGAACACTATATCATAAGTTTAAACTGATATGGTTTTTAAAATGCACGATTTCAGTGCGATAGACATGATAATCAAATCCAAGCAGATGTTTTTTGGCAGAGTATCTGAGGTACCAGCTGTAAAGGCACAGCCCTATTCTGGAAAAGGGGGCAGGGAGCAGCAGCTCATTTTCATTTAAAGAGACAGGCACGAAAACAGTGCGTTTCTGCTTCCACTCGAAATAGGCATTTTCAAAATGATATAATAAATGATCTGTGGAGTATTTTGAGCTGAAACTTCACAGACACATTCTGGGGGGGAGCAGCAGCTCATTTTCATTTAAAGATACAGGCACAAAAACAGTGTGTTTCTGCTTCCACTCAAAATAGGCATTTTCAAAATTATATAATAAATGATCTGTGGGGTATTTTGAGCTGAAACTTCACAGACACATTCTGGGGACACCTGAGACTTGTATTACATCTTGTAAAAAGGGGCACAATCGGTGCACTTTAATTTTTCTAGTAGCAAGTTTTTGTTATTTATTACTTTAATATAATGTCATACCATTTAGCGTAAGTATCTGAATAAACTCAAACTTGATATTCCCTGGTGCAGTCAGGGCTAATTTTATGAGGCACAGGAGAGTTTAAAACTGAACTTGTGGATTCATCTCTCCCTGGGCCTCTCTCGTGCATTTGCCATCGTTTTAATCTCAAACCAAATATGATATTGCATTGCGTTGTATCATATGCTGTCTGTCTGTCTGTTTGTGCCTCTGTCTGCTGTCATGCAAGACAGCAGACAGAGGCACAAATGAGAACTTTATTTTAGTAGTCCTCAAGTCTGATTTATTTGTGGAAGTCAATTTGTTTAAAAATTTTCAGTGCAGCAACTTACGTCAATTCATTTGAGTAATCACTCAAAAATTTCCATGTGGGCATTTTTAAAAATGGTAATTTAGTTAAATACTGCTACTTATCACTATATTTTTAATTAAGTTGTGTAAGTTGATGCCAATGTAAATTCCAAGACAAATTCACAATCTCTGTGTCACAATCTCTGAGGCAAAAAGCATTTGGAGCTGTGAGGTCTCAGGGAGCTGGTGGTCATGGGGGTTGGGTTGTGGACCACAGAGGATCTTGACTAAATTCCATTAAAAAACTGGTTCAGCTTGTTGGCCATCTCCAGGTGCTTCTACTACTCCCAAAATATCCCTCACCTTGTTCTCCTGCAGCTTACTCTTTACTGTTAGGAGTCCCTGCTTTCCCTCAACTTCAGTTTGTTTTCTTTGTACGCATTCATTTTTTCCATGTCTCCCTTCTTTAAGGGTCTCTTGTCATTCAGTAGAGCCTTTAGGGCACTGGTGTTTTTGGGAAAGCAGCATACTTCACTAGTGAAGAAGGTGTTGTCAACAAATGTTTATACCAGTATTATTAGTAGCACTGTCCACCATGCCGTCAAACAGGCAGGTAAGATTGCTGGTTCAATCTCCACTGAAATGATCACCATTGTGCCCTTGAGTAAGGCCCCCCCAGGTTGCTCATGTTGCTGTTATATGCCGACATTATGTGATAGTCAGTTCTTGGTTTCACAGACAGAAAAACTGGTTTCACATAAGGAAAAATTGTATGCTTTTGTTCATGCCGGAGGTGTTGACGTACAGTTACTTTAGAGCACCTGATCATGTTGACAGCAGTTGTTGCATTCTTAAACCATTGTGCGTTGTACATGATACTGGTAATTGCCTGAGAAATGTGAAGCATTTTAATGGACTTAGGTCAGGGGTAGATGGCGCATTTGACTCGAAAGAAAACATGGCATACAGTCAGTTTAATGTGTTGTACTATTGTGTACCTTAGTGTTGATAATTCAGTTGTCAAGTACACAGTTGAGAACACATCTTTTCAGAAAATCGCAAATAGTCATCTCAAGTGGCACTCCAAAATTTCACTTAGATTGGAATTGGCTGAGATATGATTTATATCAAGCATGTCAATTTTTATATCATTGGTTTTGAATCAACACCAAGTTGATGTTGAACATTTTAAGAAACACAGTTTGGACCTACTTTAGTTTGGGTGAGTCAGCTGTCAGTACTTGTGGTTGGGCCTGTAAAACTGTATCCCTATGCATCCCGCTTTCTCCCCCACCTCTCCACTCTCCAGTCCATTGGAGCGAGTCTCAACAGGAGGCACACCCTGATCACTATCGCTGCTCCACACAGCTGGCAACATCTGCTCCTGAGAGGGAGATAAGAAGGGCTTGGCCACTCCACCCTGCCACACGTTCCACACAACATCCGTGCCCGTCTGCTTCCTGCTCCAACAGACCATTGCCAAACCCACAGAACTATAGCACTGCACGTCTGCCTGCTCCGTCTCTGTAGGACTTTCCCAGATGACAGCATGACTCAGGGATTCAGATTTGGCTTGACATCTGCCAACACATCAGAATGCACATGTGAAAATAATTAACAGGAAATTGTCATTGTGAATCTCTGCTTTCGTTTTGAGCAGCTTGTTGCCACTGTTTTATGTTTATGAGATGTGAGAACAGTGTAACAGTGAGAACAGGGTTTTGCTTTAACTAAAAAAAAACAACCCGCGGCAGTAGTATAAAAGTAGCCCAATTCAGCAGGAAAACTGCAGACTTGGCAACACTGCCAAGGGTGTCCAATCCTGCTCCTGGAGGGCCAAAGTCCTTCAGAGTTTAGCTCCAACCTGCTCAAATGCACTTGCCTGGAATTTGTTATAGGGATGCACCGAATCCAATACTCAGTATCGGTATCTACTCTGATACTGCCATTTTCTGCCGGATCGGGTATTGGTCAGACGAGACCAATCCAAATCTGATATTGTGCTTATACTATTCCTTGTTATTATTAAGCCCCATGAAAGGTACAAAAACATTATAAAGCACAACAAAGTTTCCGTGCACTATATTCCAAGTTTTCTGAAGCCGTTCCATAGATTAATGTGAGGTACAGATGAATATTAATGTTGTTAAATTCAAGTTTGCGTAAACTCTTCTCTCCGCTGCGGCTGTCAGTCATCCTCCATTCAGCATTCAAACTGCTGGAGTTTAGTGCTGTTTCTAAATCATGTTATTTTCTACCGGTAGTGTTAATTTTGTCAGCTATTTTCAATTTTAGTCTTAGTCCTGAGTTAAATGTCCTTGTTAGTTTTTATCATA